ATGCTTTGGCGGCGGGATTCCGGAAGTTGGGACTGCAGCCGGGAGATGCCGTTGGTCTCTGGTCCCCGAACTATATGCACTGGTATCTTAGCATGATGGGAGCAGCTCGAGCGGGTCTCACCTCGGTGGGCCTCAATCCCGCCTTCCAAGGACCCGAAGTGGCCTATTGCCTGAACAAGGTGAATGTGAAGGCCATCATTGCGCCGGAGTCGTTCAAGAGTCAGAACTACTATGAAATACTGAGGGACATCTGTCCGGAAATCGCAGATTCGGAGCCTGGCAAGATCCGGAGTGAGAAGTTCCCCCATTTGCAGTCCGTGATAATCGACAGCTATGATGGTCTGAAGGGTGCCCTGCGCTTCGATGACTTCTTGGACCTGTCCAACAAGTCGGAGCGCGAAGAGGTGGCCAAAATCCAGAAGAACATCTTGCCAGAGTCCCCGTGTAATATTCAGTTCACCTCGGGAACCACGGGAAACCCCAAGGCGGCTGTGCTCTCCCATAACAATTTCGTGAACAATGGCATCCATGTGGGAAATCGCAACCAACTGGAGGGCGAGCGGATCTGTGTGCAGGTGCCCATGTTCCATGCCTTCGGTGTGGTCATCACCATCATGGCTGGACTGACCAAGGGAGCCACTATGGTCCTGCCCGCTCCAGGTTTCAGTCCCAAGGACTCGCTGCAAGCCATCTTCAATGAGAAGTGTTCGGTGATCCATGGCACACCCACCATGTACGTGGATCTGGTCAACACCCAAAGGAAACTGCAGTTGCCGCTGGGCAAGATCAAGAAGGCCATAACCGGTGGAGCCATTGTGTCGCCGCAGCTTATTAAGGATATAAGGCAGATCCTCAAGGTGGAGACTGTTCACAGTGTCTATGGTTTGACTGAGACCACAGCTGTGATCTTCCAATCCTTACCCGGTGATAGCAGCGATATAGTCCTGAATTCAGTGGGTTATCTGACGGATCACGTGGAAGCCAAGGTGGTGGATGCAGAGGGCAGATGTGTGCCCTTTGGACAACCCGGCGAGTTGTGTGTCCGCGGGTACACCACCATGTTGGGTTACCATGGTGACGAGGAAAAAACGAAGGAGACCATCGGCAAGGACAGGTGGCTGCGGACCGGAGATCAGTTCATCCTGGAGTCCAATGGCTACGGAAGGATCGTGGGTCGCCTCAAGGAGATGCTCATTCGTGGCGGTGAAAACATTTTCCCCAAAGAGATTGAAGACTTTTTAAATGCCCATCCGCAGATCATCGAAGCTCATGTAAGTTGAAGATTAAAATTCTATTAAATATTAATTTTTTAATGGATATATAATGTTCTTAGGTGATTGGTGTTCCTGATGAGCGATTGGGCGAGGAGGTCTGCGCCTTTGTTCGCCTTGAGGAGGGCGTTGACCCCGCCTCTTTTACCGCTGCGACCTTGAAGGAGTATAGCAAGGGCAAGCTGGCCCATTTTAAGGTTCCCAAATATGTGATCCCCGTGGATGCATTCCCCAAAACCACCTCCGGCAAAATCCAGAAATTCAAGTTAATGGAGGCCTTTAAGCAGAAAGAGCCTTCGGAACTAAAGGCCTTTAGCTCTTAGTCGGATAGCATATGTAATATTTTTATTAGAACATTAAATTTAGCTTTTATACAATGATATTTGTAATGCGATTTGTAGAAGATATTTGGAATGCGGTTCGATATTCGTCCAAAAAGCCACTTTCCTCGTTTAAATGTTTGTCTATACCAAACCCATTTTTGTTGCATACACTGGGGCTTTTGAAATAAAATGGCTGCCTCAAGATACAAATATGTATAGCCCACTTATGGAGGTCCAAGTAAATTAATTTGTTGTATATACTTAGACATTCTATTAATATTAATTATTGTCTTTTCTGACAATAACTTTAATTTGCATTGATATTTTTTAATATCTTCAAAGTAATGTCACGTTGTTTCGCCAAATAATATATATTTTGTACATATCTCAATTGTTTGTATGGCACAAATTTTGAACTCTCTCGGTACGCACATTTAACAAAAGTTTTTAAAGTCGCAATTTCTATTTTCAGGGTAACCATATTTGCACTTAATATTAACGATAGACTGAAATGCTCTTTAATTTGCGTTCAGAAAATATTTATGCATTCTATATTTGTTGAAATTTTGAGCAACAACAGATTTTTCAAGCACAATAACCTTTAATCAGACTGTTCGACTTTAATGCGAACAAAAGTACCTTATCATCTTGAACATACAGAGGCTTTTAGCGCCATTTAAGCGATTAAGACAAGCTTGTGTTTCTCGCATTCGATTTTAAATATTCTAAATATAGTTATATTTAGTAAGTGGCAATAAAAAAAAAATGTACCTTGGAATTTTGACTAGAACCTAATCTTTTAACCTTTCCAAAAAGATTATAATATTATTAAAGTAAAATATGGGAACATCTGGAAGCAGCTAAAAAAAAGTTATTTACTTCAAAATATCCTTCTGACTAAAAATAGTATAGGTTTTAATTTAATCAGCAAACAAAGACCAGGCGTTTTGATATATGGACGCGACTTGCAAGCGATTTTAGCCGCGCGAAAAGGGGTCTTCAGCATCGAAACCCCGATAGCACCGCTCGATCTTTACGACCCGGCAACTGATTGGACCTTTATGTCTGTGTTTTCGCAATGGTCTGATAGCAGCAGCTTTAGTCAGCTGGCGTTATGGCTCAGAACGGGAATCAAAGCATACCCACCGAGAATTGCGGAAAAATACACACAATCCAGTTGGGGCGACATTTACATTAAATTATAATCGCCGTCGAAGCGAAACAGGCTAGTCAAACAGCTTAAGGGAGTGGAATGGACTCGAATTTATACCTTCCTCTCTTATCACTTCGGTGGCGATAACGAATCGCCTCCAATTTGGGCATTTGAACGGTCCAAATATTTGGCAACGACTCAGTTTGTGATCATCAAGCGCTCGAATCGGAGGAGACGTATGTAAATATTTTCTAAAGCTTGGGCTAATTAATAAAATTAATAAATAACTGAATGGCATCGGTGACTCTGTGATTTTTGATATGATTTGCATAGGTCTGACCGAAAAACCCGGGTCAGTTTGGCATTGGAATATTTCTGCGAATCGGATATTTAGTTGAATCTAGTTTGTTTTGTCTTAGGTTAGTAATATTGTGACCGGCTTTCAGTGCGTATCAGTGAGCTCCAATAGTTTCTCAATTTTTGTTTAAACCTGATAAGAATTATCTAGAAATTGGTAAGATTAAGGTGAAATTAAGCAATATCGTGATTGTTTCAAGTATTTGTTTTCTTTTAATAGTACTACGTGAAGTGCTAAGAAAAACTAATTATTATAAGAAACACTTAAGATTAGAAAAACTTCATATCAGTGATCATAAAACAGATGGTAACTTAACTAGATCATTAAAAAACTATTTCACAATATTTTTAAAAAACTATCTAATCTTTGGGAACACCCAAATTAATAATTGTTTTTCGTAATGGGAAGCTAAAATGAGTGATAATTATACCAAAATTCCCAAGCCCTTCAGGTGTTCATATTTTTTGGCTTCATCCAAACTTTTGGGTTGATAAAGACAAGCAGTTTAGTCCAGAGATAGAGACCTAGACGATGACTTCAGTTTATTTTGGCAAAACATACCAAATCAACCGATTTCAAGGTTAACCAATAAATAAGCATTAGGATTTTCGCCAATAGCCCATTGGCAATGGAAAAAACGAGCGCCTTTATCTTTTAATTATTATAACGAGTGCTAAGTACGAAACAAAGAAAATCACGACCGACTATCATTGGTTTATGAGTCATAAACTCTTAAAGATGATGATTTGAGAAAGGTAATCTAATCAGAAATCCCAGTCATGGGTTCCATTAGTTATATTATGTGCGGAAATTATGGGAATTTCAATTCAAATGCAATATAAATCTTCACCTGTCACAACAGTAGCTTAATTGAATTTATTTCTTTGCACAATCGCAATATTAAATTTGTTATCTAAAATTATTCACGCATAAATTAAACCGATCCGATTCGAAGGGAAAGTAGGAATAACTGTGCTAATCAGTTTTCCAGTTCCCAGGCGTAATTGAATATTTATAGATTTGCACTCGATGCACTTGCATCGTTTTTATGAGTTTATTAATTACGAATTATTTCAAAAATTGTGTTACGCGACGTCTGGTAATTATTAAAAACCAATCAAAATTCTACCTAGTAATGCTGCTTTGGGCATTTTCATGAGATTTTCCTAGTTTTAATGCGCAACTTATTTTCTCCATGTATTTCAACTATGTAAACTAATTCTCACACTTTATTATCCAAGTTAATTCCATGCTAATTTCTGACGTATTACTGGCACCTGTAATAAATTGCAATTCAAAGACTGTTGATAGCTCTGTAATAGTCATTTAATATACGTATCATTTATTAGTTGATTCATAATTAAGCAACCACAACCTGATAGTAAACAAACACGAGCGACTATTTAAAAACATAAATTCGAGTTACATATGAGTTACTAAGTAATGACAGAGTTAAGTGCTATAAATTTCATTATATTATCATCATACAGGATCTACTGTATTTGGTAAAGCTGATCACAATCCTAAGCGCTGCCACATTCTGTAAAGAAAGCTTATCGCGAAAGGAAAGCTCTCTGTTGACATTTTTAAAATATAGATATTGATATGGATATAAAATAAAGATATTGTTAAGGATTCACAACTAATAGGATAATTCCAAAAACATAATACATTTTTCTCGCCAAATTTTAAAACTAATGATGGCAAAAGCCAAATTTGCTATCGGTAAATATGCTCAAGCTCGGATTTCGACTCGATAAAGGGGGGATTTAAAACCGGGAGCAGATCCAAAGCTGTGCCGATCTTTCAGCTGGGGGCTTTTGGGGCACTCAGTCCGCGACGGAGACCCAAATCAGACGCAGTTTCGGATCCCCCGGAACCACAGTTGTCCAGTTTAGTAGCTGCGGTCACCGGCGACTGACGAGCGATCAGAACGATCAGACCGCCGAGTTCAAACAGCCGTACAAATAAACTAGATTGCAAACTGTGCCAGTGTTTGTGGGTGTCCATCTGTGTGTGTGTGCCGAGCTTAGCCAATTTCTACGGGTATAGGCATATATATAGTAGCGCCAGAAGTCGCGTACGCGCATTCGAGCATCAAACATCTACGGCCAACGTCTAACGGTCCAACACGGTCGCTTTTGCCGTGAATCGAACGAAATCGAAAACAAATCGAACACGAAATCAAAAAGTAATCGAAGCAATTCGATAAAACCCGATCATTTCCGGTCATATGCGTGTGTTTTGTTGTAAAACTAATACAAAATAAAACCCCTGCTGCATCGCTCTCTTTCGCACTTGCGGCTTACGCACCCAGCAGCAAAAAAAAATAAAATAAAATCAGCAACAGCAAGCTCTGCTAATTTTAAACGGTAATCCCATGTTTTTGTTTTTGCATAAATTTATTACAGTCCATCGTTGCTGTCAGTGTGTGAGTGTGCTTTTTCCACAGTGTGTGTGTGTGGTCGCGTTTGTTATTTGTTTATCGCTCTGCACGCATTTTCCGCTCCCTCAAAATATATAGTTTTGTAATATTCGTCAATCGATAACTGATTGGGGATAACGATTACAAAGTGAGTCTACTTGATTGAATTTTCATATCTAATCGAGGTAATTTCGAAATATTCAGGTGTTTTATTTGAAATTAAAAAGATTAAAAGTGCTTGTAAGAATTCCCAAGTGGTTTTTAGAACTGACATTTGGTTCTTAGACATTGGGGTTCTACCCGATTTTTTAATTAATCTTCTGTCTATAATTTATTTATTAACTTTGCAGTACTTACAAATCGATAAATGATACAGTAAATCAATTGACGTTTATTTGAATCGATTATCATATCTTATCATGTGAATTTCAAATAATAGAATTTGATTGGGTGGGTTTATTCATAAATATTAGTAAAAATCAATGCAAAGGATGTTCCTTTAAATTTGTAAGCCAAATTATTTAAAAAATATTTAATGACAATGATCTTTATGAAATTGAAATACAAATAATTATGTAGTAATACAAATATTACTCATACGCAGTGTTGTTTTGAGCAAAATGATCCAAAATTGTTTTTTAATTGTTTTTTTTTGTATATGATAATCATAGATTCGAGTTTATAAGTAGAACCACTTGAAATCCCCATCTACGCATTTAAAGTGTATCGATAAGGGTGCTAGAAGATCAATACAGAAAATGTTTGCCCATCCTCCAAGTGATTGTGCGCCCCTCAAACTTATAAATTAGATCGCTCAGCTGCGATTATTCAACCTGAGAATGCCAGTAAAAAGAGCACTTAGGATCTGCTAATGAAACGAGCAAACATTCAACAAAGTTGAGCTGTAAAGAGATGTACTCTGGTCATTATCGTATCTGAAAACGAATCAGTCAAAGGCAAATTATAATCATAAACATTTAACAATATCCAAATAACACTAGGCGTTTCGTGGGATTTTAGTGTTTGTCGGGGCTGGGACCTTATCTCTGCCCAGAAACAGATATACAATAGTACGGATAATATTTGCAGCTCGTTTGTGTTGGCAAACCTAATTAGCTGGCAGTCAGGTCGTAACTCGGGGACTGGGTCTTATCAAGAGCCTTGCGAAAATTGAGAATCAGTCGCAGCGACCAATTTGGCATTTGAATTGTCACCCGTTCTTTGTCAATTAGCCGACATAATTGGAGTACAATGTGCATTTGCATCGCATTGGAACGTCACTTGGCCCACTTGGGGAGTTTGAACTTGAAAAACCCAATGCTCAAAACCCCCGATTCCCGATCCCCGATCCCCAATCCCCGATCTCAATTTAGAATCATCTGTCCCTCTATCCATTCCCCGAAACGAGGAAGTCTTGCTGGGCGCAATGAGCCGCTCAGTGGGTCGTCTATTTAGCCAGCAGATTTAAATGCGAATGCGCTTGACCCAAACAGCAGTGGCAGTAGTATTGTATAGTATTGTATCTAGTGGTAACCTCAGTGAAATCCATGAGATTCCCGCTTTTGGACCTTCGCCAGGGGCCCCAAATGCAAGTCGTGTGTTTAATTATCGCGCATACGCCGCGTTGCCGCCGCAGACGGCGCAGCAGCAAAAAAAACAGAAAATCACAAACATCCTGCACTAATTCCAAGGGGCCAGAGAGCCGGGCTTCCACTAATTAGTCACTAATTGTCGGAGACGTAAAAGACTATAAATGGAATCGGCGCAGAATTCATTATACGGAATTTAAATTTAGAAAAAGTACAAAGAAGCACCACACACGACGCAGATTGTACTTTGAGACTTGCTATTTTATTTGTCGGGAATCTTATGAGCACTATTAAAAGTTTACTTAAACAAGTATAAGTACTCGCATAACAAACTGAATTTTCTTTTAATTTTTTTTGTTCTTTTTATAATTTTTTTTAAAAATGCTTTTTTAAAATAACACAGAAGTTTCCCTTAAAATGATACTAAATACTAATGATACCAAAAGGACTTTATTTTTTTAAATGTTTTTCTTTTTAGAAAATTCTATTTAACGTGTTTGAAAGGGAATCTTTATTTTTGGAACTAATAATACATGACAATTATTTGCAATTAAGTATATTTTAGATGGGTATTGGGAAAAGATTTGAATAACTACCAAACTAAATATGAATATACTAAAATATATAGCACAAAAATTTTGAAAGGAATAACATATATAGTAGAAGTCGGAAGTCTTAATTTATGAGTATTGTTTTTCGGGTAGCAACCTTTCTATTTTATAGTATTTATCAAATATTATTGTTTTTAAGTACCTTTAAAGGAACAATCTCGTTACCTTTGGAAATGTAGAGATCTCTTGAGTGTTACATTTATTTTAAGCCCCTTCATAAATACCCAAATGATCAACACCCACATCGTATGCATTGCATCACATAAGGAATCCCTTTCTGATTGCCCCTGACCTGGCCTTTTCAAGTGACAAGTTCAAGTGGCACAAGTTCACAACTTTCCACGACACTTTCGATGCCCTGTCGTGTGTAGCGCATCACTTTCGCTTTTTGTATCGCTGGCATTTCGGTTTTAATCAAAGCTCCTAAATTGGATCTATTAAGTCACTTGAGATAAGTCCGATGGGGACGACGACGACTTGAGTGCCGCGTGGAGAGGCCACTCAACGCAAAATTGTCACGTTGACGTTGAGATATCAGTAAAAGAGCCCGGCTCTCTCAGGTGATCTCCACAAAAACTGGGACATCTGACATGGGCAAACAAACAAGTGTGCTGACTTTTCATATCTTGTTGTTCTGGGGGCTCACTTTAAGCCCCCTATATAAGGCAGTGTTGAGCGACTATTAAGGATTCCCTTGATCGCTATCTAAGATTAAAAGTTATGGTATGATCAAAAATGCTTTCTAATGAGTCACAGGGGAAACTATTCTTAGGCCCTGGCAGCTGTATAATTATATAACTTATGATTTTGATAATATGTTTATTAAATGTTGGGTTTTTACTTAGTGATTAGAGCTATCTTTTTGAAGAAAAAATACTTTAATAAAAAGAAAATCTTTTTAAAGATTATTTTAATGCAAACTTAGATTGTAGAATTGATTGTAATTCTTATATTTATATACTTAGTATGTTGAAGTGAAATCAATCCTACTAAATAAGTAGAATTAGGATTGAAAATAATTTTTAAAATAATTTTAAATTTAGATCGAATTTTGTTTGAAACATAAACACATTTCTTCCAAGAAAGTACATCTACATGTTATGTATACTTTTTATTAGGGTTTATTTAGTTCCTTTATTTGCACAAGTAAATCTTTAAGTCCGTAAAAGCCACTCAACTAAAAAATAATCACTTTAATTTATTTCAATCTCATTATCAAGAAAAAAGATGATTCGTGAAACTGCCCATAACTAGGGGGTTATCACTTAAATTCTATAGTAAACCTGCCTTAATAATAACACTTAATACACGAGTACTGGGCCCTATGTCCGCTTTAAAATGTCGGTGAATACTGGAAACAGTTGGATTTTGATAAGCCCGCAATCAAGGCAGCTGCTGGGTCTTTAAAGCGAAAACTATAAAATTCTTATTAGGACATTGTATATATGGCTTGCCCCGAGCAAAGATTGATAACCGTGGAAAAGTGATAAGGAGCCGGGATTAATTATTTCCCCTTCTTTTATATTTCCCCCCGATTCCAGACGGCAAATGGCAACCTCGACGTGGATGTGACAGTGGATGCGAACGCGAATGCTAGCGCGGATTATGCAACAGCGGCCAGACTTTGGAGAGATCGAGAGGGGTTCGCAGATAGACGGTTTAATTATCAGCGCCAGATTATTATCACCGCAGCGGCGATGCAGCGGTGATGGTTGTGGAGATGCATTTGGCTACCTGACTATTTCAAAAACATCCGAGCCGCCGACGAGCAGAGGTCCCCAGCCGAAATATCCGGAGTGATAATTGCGCATAATTAGCGGGAATTGACCAGGGGAGATTCCTGAAACCCGAAAGATAAAACCCTGAACAAAGGTAACCCCCAGAGATGCTGCCCACGGACAAGGGCAGTTCGGGTGGTGTGGGCCCCAGGCCGCAGAAATCTCATTGCCATGGATCGGTTTCGGTATCGGATCAGCAGCTCCTCCAGCACCTCCATCCACATCCGCATCCGCATCCCACCATCCACCTGCATCCCACACATGCCTGCGAGAAGCGCCTGGATGCGGAAACCCCTCGCCGGGATCTGCATGAACTGCTCCTCGAGATGCTGGACATGCTGTTATCCTGCCTGGTGGTGGCTCCCTGTGTGATCGCCTACTGGCGCGGCACCTGGGAGCTGATGTTCGTCTACCTGTTCCCCGGCAGCCTGCCCCTGTCGGCCATGGCCAGCTTCCTGATCGGCGGAGTGGGCCACTTCTTCTTCACCGTCACCCAGAACTTCTTCAAGGAGCACATCCATCCGGACCGGAGGCGACTCACCTACTACGCCGTTTCCCGACTCTATACGGCCATCTTCGGCATCGTCTGCGTGAATATGTGGCGGGGAGCCTGGCTGCTATGCGACTGGCTGACCAGCGTGGACTCCCTGATCATCGTCTCCGTGGTCACGGCCATCGCACTCGTCTTCCTGGTGGCCACCAGGACGCTGAGGAACCTCGGAGCGGCCCCCTACACCGTGACCATGGACCACAAGAGCGACTACTTCGAGGTGGACACCATGTTCAAAATACCCGTAAGTCTAGCAAATGAATTCCATTATTTAAAACATTTTTTATCATTAAAATAATTAACTTAAAAATGCAAAATTGAAATTGTTTTCCATTTTTATTCACCCAAATAACCATCTATTAATCCAATAAATTAATTTTTTTTTAAATTTAAAAATAGCCATTAATTAATTTGCATTTAATTAGAAAAGTACCTATTGCGGAAATATACCGAACTAGATTTTCAAATAGATTTTATATGTGCAAGAGGTTAAAATATCAAAATAAGTCGCACAAATATATCCGCCATATGATATTCTTGATATGTCTTAAATATACCCCGCATCACTTTCAAACTTATTTTATTTTCCCAGGGTTTTCATCAACCTGGCCTATATGTGTTGGACACCCTCTTCTCGGTCTTTGTGATTGGCACTCTAGTGGTCATCGCCTGGCGCGGAGTCTGGGGAATCTTTGACCTGCTGCTGTTTCCAGCAGACAGGGCCAAGTCAGCCTGGGGATCGCTGGTAAGGATCTCTATAAACCCTTGAATCACAAGGTATTCAAATCCCTTCCTTCCCCATAGCTCATTGGTTATCTGACGGTATTTGTGACCTTTCTTATCCACCCACTGATGCGGTACGTCTGTCGTAGGATCAGTGGACTTCTAAAGCTGATCATATGCGACATTTACTATCTGATGACTTTCTTTGGGGCTGTGAATGCCTGGCGTGGCATTTGGAATCTGCTGGATGTGTATCTTTATCCAGGTGAGATAATTAACCATGTCGGGTGCCACACAAATCTCTAGGGTTTGGAAATCACTTGTTGATGTTATTTTTTAGATGTCCAAAAGAATGCAACAATATATTTTAAACTCTTGCTGAACGACGACTGTTCATTATTCACTGCATACTTTTAGACACCAAAAGTTTTTGAAAAACCTATATTTATTTGTTTATAATATTTATATTTAAATATATCGTATTCTCCCCCAGATAACAAGTTGCTCAGCTTCTGGCTGACGCATCTCGTTCCCATCCTGCTCCTCGCTGCCCTCAAGTGCTCCAATTCGATCCTGGTGCGCGGTGTTTTCATCGATGCCGAGGGCGTGGGCGCCGATAGCGTCGATATACCCATCAACTATGTGCGGCTGCACTTCCTCCGCGAGCGCCGGAAGAAATGTGGCCACCCAGCAACATCGCAGCCATCACAGCCTCCGCCGCCGCATTATTATTTAAAACCGGAGCACGCCTCTCTAGGCCGAAATGCGGAGAAGGACAAGGAGGCCCAGAGCAGTCTCATCGAGAAGCCGCCCCATTCCGCCGTGCAGATCGTTTAGGGATCCTGGAGGATTCCTGGCCCATTGTTACCGTTAATATCGTTTCTATGTCTAGATGTTAAACTAGTTTTAATCGCCTAAGCTTAATCCTAACGAGCTTACTTAAGAGTCAGATGTCTAGCATTAACCCTTAGGTGTAGTCCCTATCCAAATCCCTAATCCCAAGCTGTACAGAAATTTAAGAATCGACCATATTTAGACCATAAGTATACGTGCATTTTAATCTGGTGACGAAAGCACCTTCACCCACTCTCACTAGCTAAGTGATAACGTTCCCTGCAGTACCAGTGATCACTAATTCTTCAGAAGATCATCAAAGATGTTGTTTATGGAACATGCATTAATTTTTACACAAATGATTGGTGAAACTAACATGGGCACTTTTAACTTTTATTAACTTGATTTTTGAAAAGACGCGTTGATGTCATGGGCCTATTGGTGACATGTGGAACTGCAGGGTTGCAACTACGAGCTAAACATTGTACATTGGTATTTTCATATGTCGCAAGAAAGAAATAAATAAATTTGTAAATACTATATATATAACCAAACTATAAAGAAAATTGTTTATTATTGTTTATTACCAGCATAACGATAGGAAAAAATATTAAAACGCCTTTGGAAGTTCTGTTGAGAAAAATGGTCGTCAATTGGTGTATCGCAACACACAAATATTATCTTACTTAGAGAAGATTTCGGATTTTCTTTTCAATTTAAATATTTAGTTCAGTACATAAAAACTTTGAGAATCAAAAGGTCATAAATCGTTAAGAATGTTATATGCAAAGAAATGTCTTTATTTTCATTAGTTTTTGCTATTAAATGAACTTTGATAGATAGTTCACAAAGAAATTTATGTTATATCAGCCGAGATTTAGGATGCTACAGCACGTTTGAATCCTTCTGAGGCGAGTTCAACGCCCAACTGCACAATGAGAAGCTTCACCAAAGGCAACCAGAATCCTCCTTGAGCGGGAACACCATCCACCGTAACAGCACGAGACTCTTCCTCCTTGTACCTCCTCAGAAGATCCTGGGCACGTTGTTGTAAATTAGGTGACAACGGTAGGCGTGTGGAGTACTTGTCATAGAAAGTGACCAGATCGGCGACATTCCTGTATCTAGTGGCTTCATCCACCGTAGAATCCCCATACACATGGAATAGTCGTTCCTTTTCAGTGGCGAATTCATCATCGCTTTGGGCATTTCCTCCTCCAAGAAGACATCCTGACAGAACCGCCAGGCAACTAAGATAAAGTGATTAAAATAAGGTCCTTTTTTAAAAAGGATTACTGAGACTTACCCCAGGAAAATTGTAGGATTCATCTTGGCGTTTAAGCTGTTGATCTCGAAACTGATTATTGGTTCAGTGAACGATCTCTATTTATACAGGTTCTGAAATTGGTCAGCTGAAGCACTATTGTTCAAATGTAATAGTAAACGTTTGTAAAATGCGAAATCAGCAAATTTATTTAATTCAAAGAATTGTTTTGCAAACGAATTAATTTTGTAATGATTGCAGCAAGCTTGTGATAAGCCCTCTCCTAATATACTGTTAGTCATTTTTCGAAGAAATAATGCATCATAGGAATCATATCTTCTTCGAAGTTGCTTGTCACGACAATAAAAATAACACCTTAGTATATATTCTGGATTGTTCGTCCTCATGGTTTAAGTTAAATAATAAGACAGAGTTTTAACTCCGTTTTATATCATTTAGAAAATTTTTAGGCCTGATAACCTCGTTATATGTATTTCCTCAAGAGATCTTGGGCATGTTGCTGAAAATCATGTGTCACTCCGTTGAGTAAAATATTACTCATAGAAAGTATATGGTTTAGTATACGGTATTTAATAAATAGTTAAATATATATTTATTGTAGGCTTATAGCCTGAGTTTCCCATTACGTAGATTACGAAGAAGGGTCATATAGTTTGATATTTTCTTCAAAGACATCTCAATATTTAGCTTTCAATATAGGCAACATAATGCTATTTCCGTATTAACGGTTTTTTTATCTTGGTCGAGATCAAATTTCTACACAATGACCCAATCTGCTGGAGGTCAGGATCAGAATCAAAAGGAACCCAGTTACAACATCTTCAAACAAGGAAGAACGCTATAGTCGAGTACCTCGACTATCAGATACCCGTTACTCAGCTAAATAGAGATATGCAAGTAGCAAAGCGAGATTAAAATGCGCCACCTACCGACGGTATACAGATTTAAGCGTTATGGGCGTTAGAGTGGGCGTGGCAAATTTTTTTTTGGACCAATCGATAGGTATTGACGAGACCAATACATTTCAGTTAAATTTTTTTATCTAGCATGAAAGTTGACGACGAATCTAGTATTCCCTTTTACTCTACGAGTAACGGGTATAAAAATGCAATATTTTTTTTTACCTTTTACGAGTAAGGTCTTTAAATATATGAGTCAAAATAAATACAGCTAAGGAATAACCAAAAAATTTAAAATCGGTAAACTGAATTTACTTTCGAACATTTTAAAATCTCCGGTAATGCGATAGCTGAACAAATTTTCTTTGACAACACAAAACAAGAAAAAACTAAACAAACCAGATTTTTTTTTTAAATTCAATTTCTTTCTTTTTTAAAATTATATTTTTTATTTTTAATAAATAAAATCTGCACTACATTTCCAGACTCTGACATTATTGGCCTGGTTCACCAACCAACAAATGAGGGATAAACGATTTTTTCATTTAAATGCACTTCTTCAGGGGCAAATACATCTTCTGAAGGATATTCTTTCGTCTGCATTGGCTTAGCGTTGCCAGTCCCAAGAAGACAAACTGAGATAATCACTAGACAGCTAGGAAAAACATTAAATTAATTTAATTTTATGGGGGATTACAGAAACATACCTTATTAAAAGTGCAAAATTCATGTTTACTTTGGGCACCCAATTTCGAAACTGAAATTGATTTAGTGATTGAGATCTCTTTATAACAAATTTTTTATATAGAAATATTGACATTTATATAAACTTTTTTGTGGAATAATCTCTTACGTTTTGGTTATTTCCTGAATTTAAAATTGTATTTAATTTGAATGAATCATATACCTATGATAAGCGTCTAAGAGATTGTTAAAGTTTTTGTTGAGTGACGAAAGCCATTATTAAATTTGACTGTATATTTTGGGTTATTTTTCCTTTTGATACACATATTTTTTGTTTAATTGATTGACCTTTCATGAATTAAAAGCATAAAGAATATGAAGCGAAGTCAAAAGAGTTTTAAAATAAGTAAACAAGTGATATTATGTTCATAAAATGTCTTTGTTTTATGTTTTTATTATCTGTTATTTTATAAACACCGAATATATAGTTTCGGATGAGTTACACTTTATCCCAATGAAGGTTTAGGATGCTACAGCACGCTTAAAACCTTCGGAGGCGAGCTCAACGCCCAGCTGCACAATGAGAAGCTTCAGCAGAGGCTTCCAGAATCCTCCTTGAACGGGAACACCATCCACCGTAACTTCACGAGACTCTTCCTCCTTGTACCTCCTCAGGAGATCCTGGGCACGTTGCTCCAAATTGGGTGACAATGATAGGCGAGAGGAGTACTTGTCATAGAAAGTGACTAGATCGGCGACATTCCTGTATCTAGTGGCTTGATCCACCGTAGAATCCCCATACACATGGAATAGTCGTTCCTTTTCAGTGGCGAATTCATCATCGCTTTGGGCATTTCCTCCTCCAAGAAGACAACCCAACAAAACCACCAGGCAGCTAAGAATAAATGTTTAAAATTAAGGTCCTTTTAGAAAGGGCTTACTAAAACTTACCCGAGGAAAATTGTAGAATTCATGTTGTAGTTTAAACTGTTGCTTTCGAAACTGATTATGGATTCAGCTAACGAGCTCTATTTATACGGGTTCTATAATATAACAGTTAAGGCTTTTAAAATGCGTTGCACTAGAAAAGGTCCCTAAAATGTATATTCAGCAAATCAATTGTATTCCAAGAACTGTTTAGCATTCGCTATAATCTTGGATTGATGCAGTTAGCCCATGATAAGCGCTTATAATCTTGATTTTAATGCTACGTAGATTTCGAAGGAAATGAACCATAGTATTTGATTTGTAATTGTTGTTTCCAATTCCAATTGATTATATGTACCCATGCTTTCTGAGTTTCCGCTTTGTCTAACTTGGTAGAGGACAAATATCTGCTCAAGGATATCACCTTTTCATATTGCATGCATATAAATTTCCCTTTCATTGAAAAAAACTGAGTAAAATACTCGTGTCGTCTGGTCTTATAAAAGTCTCACGGCCCATCTTATGCGCCTGCTATGAACTTGTCATTCCCCACATTTCTTAAAGGTGCATTATATAGAAAGCGAAATCAAAGTGGTCCCAAAAACAAAAACCTCTGCATTGTTTTGGGTCAATACAATTTCTTGAGGCGAAGAAAATGCACAGTTGTATTGCTAAATTGAGCAATGTGCGGCGGTATATCTAATAAACAAGATCGTACGATTTTAATGCTATATACAGAGATAATGGGCATTTGTAGGGTATTTTGTTCATTATTTTATAAATTTTATGTGGTTTAATTTAATTTAGTTAATTTGTTGAACCATAAAACCACTTATTAATTAATATATTTTTCATTTCTTAGTTTATTTAAAAATCTATTATTGTTTTTAATATTTTATTCGAACGATGTTTCTCCAAAATCCCCATGTAGCGCACCCAAAAATCAGATATTGACCACAAAACTCAGTGGCTGTGACCGTCCCGAAAGATTCCTATCTCGTTCGTATTTTCTTTTCTAAAAAAATAGCAACAACAATATATAGAAAGAGGCAGAATGCAACGGGCGGCTAAAATAAATACGCAAATACAAATCGAAAACGCAAAATAGAAAGCAATTGATATGCTACTTGGCATTTTAGTTTTAAATTTGCGACGGTTTGCTGAAAATCAAACTAGCGATCGCGGCGGAAAAATTGGTCCGAATAAAATAAATAATATTATAAAGTAAAAGCAAAGAGATTCCAGTTTTTAAAAAGTTTTTAAAAATTATTTGCTGATTTTTAAGTGCGGAAAAGTTGATAAAATCTATCTGTATTACCGAGCACTCCGCTGCTGAAATTTACATAACCAAAAGTTCGCATTTGGTAAAGTTCGAAGTCGATCGAAATGGGCATTCCGGATATCCGACTGTTGGTGACGCTGGACTTTGAGGTCTATGGACATGTACAAGGTGCGTTAGGAAAGAAGAACAGGATCAGGAATTGAGGGCTAGCAACCAAAGTGCTCTTTCGGGTGGATGGCTAAAAATAAACCCTCAGTAGCTGGTTACTTTGGGTTCCCCACCTGTCCTTGGCTTTGTTTCACGCCCCATTCCACATGCGCTAGACTATATAGAATATATATCTCTGATTTGTCAACCGGCAGGCCTGAATCTCACGAAAGACACCCGCGATCGCTGCACCAAGGCGGGAATTACTGGCTGGGTGAAGAACAGCAAACAGGGCACAATCGTGGGTAAGATGCAGGGTCCCAAGGAAGAAGTGGATAAGTTGTGAGTAATCCTAAATGGTTTTCAGCTGCCTTGTTATATCCTTGATGTATTCCTCTCTCTTAGGATCGCCTGGCTGTCCAGCGAAGGCTCCCCCGGCTGCCAAATCGATCGATGTGACGTGCGGAACGTGGGTAACCTCAGCCGACTGGACTACAAGGACTTCGCAATTAGGTTTTAGATGTTTCTCCGCCCCACATTCGGTGTGCGGCTTTATGGTTTTGTGTGTTTGTTTTGTGCATTACTTCGATAAGTTTGTAAATACGACTAAATAATAAAGAATTTAATAGTAATTTGATTAGAGACTTGGTTTGAATTGGGTTTTTGAAGAATGATTATAAAAATCTTAAAATTTCCAAAAATATCATATTTATTTCCGTTTCAGTACATTTTAGATATTGCACGTTCCTGTTTAAGTTAAGGGCGGTTATGGTGTTAAAAATAATGATTCAGAGAAGACTTAAAGTGAATAAGAAACAATTTTCGCAATAGATTAATATAATGTTTAAATAAGAAGACATTTTTACTCTCATGCATTCTATCTTGAATATGGTTGACTTGGTCTTTTAAAGATAGTCTAAGAACTTTTATTATTTCAAGTAAAGCTCTCATTTTAACAACTTTATAATTCTGAACAAGGTATATTCAGCCAACTTTTGAAATGTATATCGTCTGTTAAACACCACTTCTAAATGTATTTAAGTTATGGAAAGCAATTCAAAGAAGTCCTAATGTGAATACCTAAAATTGTCGCTAGAGAAAGAATACTATTTAAATAGGAAAACAGTTTACTCATCTATCCTGTCCTTTCTCCGAAACAACCCAAGTTCAGGAACAAGGACATGATATAATCTTGAAATTCTCCATCTCCTAGAAACAGCTGACCTTAGATCCAAATTAAAACGCCTTCGTGCACATACGTAGACTGAAATCTATTTAGTTTTCAATACAGAGGCGTAACACTTGTTCTACAACATCTTTTGACTTAGACTACATGTGATTTGGATTATATAGCCTAGCAGGACTGGAAACGACCGGCGGCCTTCATGCGCTCGAAGGACTTGTTGGCATCGTACTTCCTGTAAAGTGAAGATATGATCAGATCAGTTGAAGATCATATAGAGAAGATGTAGCCAATATTTACGAGTAGAAGTCGGCGTAGGCGGCCTTCTTGGGATCGTTGACCAGAATTTTGTAGGCGACGGTGATCAAGGCGGTCAGGCCCAGGGAGATGGCCAGATTCTTCTTGATGGTGGCATTGTGCAGGCCGCGGAGCACGGGTCCGACGTTGGAGGTGGCTGGAGTGTTGGCCATGTCGCTATAAGGAAAAATGAATCACAAAAATCAATTATATTGCTGGCCAGTTACGTAAGGTCTTCAAAGGTAGTTCCCAGAAATCATTTAAAAACGATTAAACTCTCGCCAGCAACTAACTAAGTAGTAAAGGGCACTAATTGTACTAATTTTTACATTGTTTTAAAGCGGAAAACACCTTGCAAGCTGTTTTAAAAAGAAAAAACCTTGTTATGTACTCACATTGCAAATTTCAGAACAGATATAGAGATGGAACAAAAATCTATTCCCTGAAGGTAATATCGATATTTCCAAGGAGGTGGCAGCACTACCACTATCGATAAGCCTCTTATCCAATTTGATTTTATTATTCCAATAGCAGTGATTTCAATTCGCCTGATTAAATTTAATTACTTATTTTAAATTATTAAAAAAATAAAATAGATTAAGAACTTGATAAATAAATCGGCAATGCAAGTAAATATGCTTAGAAGTACTTATAAGACTAATAACACTGGTTTTTAATTCTCAAGAGAGAATTTTTAATTTAATTACCAATTACTGTAAATTTTTAATCCATTAATTTATTTATGATTTCAGAACATCTGACAACCTCGCTCTCGTGAAACTTCCAGTGCGGGCTGTTGTGCAGCCCTGGCCAACCGAAAAATGCCGCCAAATTTAGGGGATTTCGCCGCGCAAACGTCTGGCAACACCGGCTGGAAAATAAAAATGGCTACCACTGTGTGCTTGTTATTGTTCGTGGAATTTTAATAATTACGAAGTTTTTTATACAAAATAAACAGGATAAACGCATCGCTGCAGCGCCAACTGAAGGCCCCAAAGCAAGCGCGAATCTTTCGACACCGATCCGAGCGTTAATCGAGTGCCCGCACGCGATCGAACCGTGTGAAATTAAGCCCCCGAAAATCGGCTGCCCGAATGCGTGAAAATTTCGGAGACCCGCAAAAGGGGCATTATTATTCGGCTGCCGGATGTGAAATGGAGAACAGTGGGGGCCCAAATACCTTTCAATTGCCCTGAACAATAATTTAAAAGCGGGCAGGCCAGGTTTCCAGCAGGAAAAGCGCTTGAAAAGTGACGCAGGAAAATCCCTATCCGCGCCCCGCACGTGTGTGTGTGTGTGAGTGAGTGTGTTTGTGTGCGTTGGTGAGGCTACTACTAAAAAAAAGTAAAAAGCGAAAAGAGAGAGAAAAAAAATAGTGGAAAATGCCCAAAAACAAAAGTCGCAGAGGTTAAAAAAACTAGTGGGCTAAAAGCGAAACCGAATCGAAAGACGACAATAATTCGAAAAGAAAAACATAATAAAATGCAATTGCTCCACTTCCAATTTCCATGCAAAGGACGCCACGGCGGTCAATCGAAAGCTAAATGCGAGAATTGAGCAGCGTTCTACCAATTAAACCTACGACGCGTGCGATTGTCGTGTGATGATATGCCACTTAAACAGGTGAGTTAATCGTGTTTCGTGTTTTCGCGTTTAAAGCGCAGCGGAACAGCTGATTTGCGATTATTGCACTTGCAAATGGGGCTTCTTATTTTTGTTTCTCCCCTTTGCATTGTGCACTTGCGTCACCCACGCACAAAAGCGGGGAATAAAAACAAAAACAATAGGCGGCAGCGGTGGAGGGAACTAATTTCTTGCTCTCAGGTGTTTCTCTTCCCGATTTTTTTTTCTGGTTTCCCCCTTACTTTTTTTTTGATTTTATTAATCAGCCCGCCCCCTTTTTACCCCCCGCCTTAATTCCAAGCAAGTATTTTGGTTACCTTTTCCCTCTGCCACACACACTTGCCCACCCAACACACACACACACGCACACCCTTCCAAGAGGCCAAGAAGAAAAATGGCGACGACGTCGGGGTATCGATAACACACCGCAGAGAGGAGAGAAGAGGCGAGAGAGAGTGAGCGGGAGAGAGAAAAGGAAAACGCACGCACGCATGTGAAAATGCAACCTGTGGGCAGCAGCGGCAGCTGCCCCGCCCCCTTTTGGCCACCGCGCGTGGAAAATGCAGTCAGCTGAAAAGCCCTTT